TTTCTTTTTTTACACATATAAATATACATACATATATGTATATATATATATACTTTCAATTAATTCTAAATTTACGTAAAAAATTACATCTATCCTAAAATCAGAATTAAAAGTAAAAAATAGTTTTACACTAAAATATACACAAAAGTACATTCAAAAACAAAATATTATTTGTAACGAACATATTATTAATATGTATGTAAAAATTAAGAATTTTTAATATTAAAAACTATTATAAAATATACATATTATATTTCTTTAAATGTTTATTTATGTATTCGTGTATTTATATTATGTTCTGTTGGGAAATTTTTTTTTAAATAATTTTGTACATTTCGCACAAAAAAAAAAGAAAAATATAATAAATTTTTATACATTTACAAAAATAAAAATAAAAAAATATTTTAAAAAACGGAGCCGGCATGCAAATATCGACCAACTGTAAAATGTATATGTAGAAAAAAAATAAAGAAAATAAACATTAAAAATTAATGAATTATTTATAAAATTATTTTTTAATGTTTTTGGCTTGTTTTTTTTTTTTTTACACAAATAATAAAATATCTTGTTTACGAAAAACTATTTACAAAATGTAGTAAATATTGAAAAGATAATGATTGATAATTTTAAACAAAATTGAAATATTTATACATTTATATACGAATCAATCTAGTAGTTTATTACTTTTAGTACTAATCGTCGTCTTAAATGAACAATGTTTCTTAAAACATTTAAAATAAAAACACATTTATAGGGAAAACTAAAGCTCTAGTGAACAAGTTTTTAAAAAACTTTTATGCGACAGAACAAAATTTTCAATTTAGAAAAAATGTTTTAGAATAACAAAATGTATTAAGTATTACAATAAGAATTGCAATTAAAATTTATTGAGATTATGAAGAAAAATATATAAGGCAAACATTATTTAAAAGAATTATTAATGGTAATTTTAAATTAATTTCTTGGATATAAAATATATAGAAGGTATATAATAATATTTATAACATGTTAAAATTATTTTAAAATTTCAAATTCTTTATAAATATGTTAATTTTATCTTACTAATCTCGAACTAGATTAAATATTATTTAAGAGACTTTTGTTGAAAATAAAATTATAATAATTTTACTGTAATACATACACATATAACATGCAAATGCAAAATAAAAAAAACTAATGCAAAAGAATGGAAATTCCATTTTTTATAAATTTAACAAAAATAATGCAAAATAATGGAATTTTAAAAACAAAAGTGAATTATTAAATATTCAAATTTTAATTTTAAACATTCAAATTCATAATTTCATTAAAGATTCAAAATTGAATTTACATATCATTTAAATTTACAGTAATTAAAATTATTTTGTTTTTTACAAAATTCTAGAAATTAAAACAAATTTTCGTATATAATGTATTAAATATGATTTTTAAATTGTTGAAACTATAAAATGTTGAATTATACATTCAAAATTAAAATAAATAACATGTACAATTACAGTATAACAAAACATTATCTTTTTCTTTTTAGATGAAGTGTGATATTCATAAAAATAAAATTTTCACTTAATATTTGTGTAATAATTACCAAAAAAAATCTATAATTCTATAATAATAAATGTACAAATGTAATACAAAAAAAAAGTATGTGAAATGAAAATTCTTGTACTAGAAAAATGTTTTATTTTTATGCTGGGCTTTGAAATGTACTTTTGCTTTTTTTTTTATTTTTTCAATTTTTTTTTACAAATTATAAAAGTCATAAATTAATGATATCACAGCTTAATTTATAAGTATTTTATGTTAAATATAAAAATTTTTTGTAATGTTGATTTTTGTTTTTTTTTTTTTTATATAAGAAACTGCATTTCTTTTTTAGGTAACTACATAATTGCGTATTCTAATTTATATTCTAATCGTATATATATATATATATATAAAAAATATTTTGTATATGAATAAATAAATTTTTTATATTTAATACATTTTACTTATATTCGGTTGATAGAACATTATTTGGCAACATTTGTCTGTAAAAATTAAAGAAAATGTACAAAAAAAAAAATAAATTTAATTTAGAAGAAATACTTGAATAATAAAATTGAATAATAAAAGTATTAAAAATTAATTATTTGGTATATGTAGGCTTTTTAATAAATTCTGTTATATTTTTGAGTAGGTAAATGATTGTAATTTACAATTTTTAATTAAGAAAATCGGTTAAGAAAAATAAATTAATATTTTTAACACTTTTTATAATTGAATTTTTGTAAAACTTATTTAAACGAAAAAATAAAAAAGTATAGAAATATAACATCAGTTTTCTGACCATAAATTTTTTGATTGCATGACTTAAAAATTGGTTAAAAGCAGGAGTAAAGTACCCTTCCTCGTAATGTTATTCAAAATAATTTGATAAAATTGAACATTTTAATGAAATAAAATATTGATAAGAAGCAGGTGTAAATTTATTAATAGATCGCATTGACATTATTTTGGAAATATAGGATGTTTGAATTATGTTTGGATATCATAGGAGTTGAATGGCTACCAACGTTCACTAATAGTGTTTTAGTGAAAACCTAAGTTGTATGAGGGATTTTTTTTAAAGTAATTAATAGCTATTTTAATTGATAATTGCAATAATAATTGATTTCTATAAAAAATTTTTTTTTTTATAAATAGATACATATATAAACAAATTACTTGTAAGAATACGAAAAATTTAAGATATTTAGAAATTAAAAATCGGTAATCAATATTGAAACATTAAAATGAAAAATTCGTATTTAATAATCATAAAGAATGAAAAAAAGAAAAAATTTAATAAGGAATAATACAAAGTAGAACACAAAATAAAAATAAATGAAAGACAAGCCTAGAGCATGATAGAAAAAATAAAATTAAGAGCTGAATACAATAGAAAATTTTGATAAAAATTATTATTTTAAGTACAAAAGTTAAAATAGAATTTAATTTGTTTTTTTTTTTATGTTTTCTTTTTCTAAAATGGTCAAAAAATTTACATGGTTTTACGTTATTTACATTAAAAATTAAATTCAATTATACTTGATCATAATAATTTTCATATGAATTAAAAAGTTTTATAACATAATTTAGGTTTACGATAATATGGCCTAAATCATAAGATAAATTACGAATTACAAAAAGTGTTTTTGTTCAAAAAAGTGTTTTAAAGTTAAAATTTTATTATTTTTATAATTTTAAGTTAAGTTTGTTCTTTTTAACAATTATGTGAATAAATAAAGTTATTAATAATATTAAAATATAGTAATTTTTTTGCGTCTTGGTTTTTAGTTTATTTTGTTCTTACATTCAACATAATTTTATATAGGTAAATAAAAAAAATAATAAAATTAATCTTTAGTTAAAATATTAAATTTTGAAAGATACTTAAAAGATCTTGAAATTTCTTTAATTTTTAATTAAAAAAATGTTTTTTTTTTTCTTTTTAAATACCCAGCATAAAAAAACATTTAATCATTTTTTTTTTGTTTCTAATGATCTTAAAACATAAAAAATGTGAGAAATTATAATAAAATCAGTAATTATTTTTTATTTGATTATTACATTATTAAATTGTGTAATTATTTTAAGTTATATAAAAATATTAAAAGATCAAATGAATAGAAATAAAAAATATAATTTGAATCTTTCAATATATTTTACATTATACTATACATAATTTATTAATATAATATTATTTATATTAGAAAGGTTATATAGCGTAAAATTTTCTTATTTTTAGTATAATCTCATTAAAATAACATGCAATATAAAAATTAATTAGTTTAATTTTTGTTAGTAAAAAAAAAAATTACATTAAAATTTATAGATATTATAAAAAAAAATATTAAATACATGCAAAACTTATTATAAAAATAATACTATTAATTTTCAATATTCTAAAAAAAAGAATATTTTCAAAAACTTAGTTGAATTAAGTAAGAGTATCCTCATATAAAATTCGTATAATTTGGTAATATTTAATGGTTTTTACCAAATACAATTAAAATCTGTTCTAAATATATATGTGTATATATCGTATATTTTTCAGTATATATATCAATTTAACAAATTAAAATATTTTTATTGTTTTCAATACAAAAATTGAATACCTAAATAATCAAAAGTAACAAAAAAAAAGCAATTATAAGCTATTGCAACGTAGCTTCTACTTCTACATCAATATTTCTGAAAATTCAAAAATTATACACAAAATTTTTTTTTCCTGATTTTGTAAAAATCTCTATAGTTTTCTTAAATTATGTGAAAACATCAAATACTCGTAATAATAACAAATGATTTAAATTAAAATAGATGAATAATTAAAATTTTTTTTAAACGATAACTTTAGTAAGTCTTCAACTTACTTAATTCAACACAAAACGCCTTTTTAACTATTTGCAATAAAATAATAGCATTGTAATATAATTACCAAGAGACAAAAGAAATTCGTTTTAAACACTATTATAAATACAAAAAGCTTGACTCAACAAAAATAAATATAAAACACGGATTCTTTCTATATTATTTTCAAAGAACTGAAATTTAAGAAAATATACTACAAATTTTACGAGAATTTAATTTACTCTTCTTCATGAAAAGTTAACATTTTTGAAGAATAAAATATGCAAAAAAAAAAAAAAACTATACTTTATTTTATATTTTGTATGAGTAATATACTTATATATTATAACATTCACCGTTATTTTTGTTTATTAAATTTTATAAAACTTTAAATTATGCTTCCTAAAAAAATAAATGGACGCTTAATACCTAACATTTTTTTTTTATTTTTTGAAATTATTTGAAATCTTGGATTTTATCGCTGAAAATTTTTTAATATTTTTTGTTTTCTTACAGAGAAGACATAATTAGTTGAATTATATTTATAAAAAAAAAAAATAAATAAATATAAAAAAAAATTATTATTGGAAAAAAAATGTAAGAAAATTTTTTTTATCTAGCAAATAACCCACCGCTATGTTCTGTATAATCCGTAAGTAGTTGATTCCCGGCCGCTAGAGCTGCATAATTTGTATATTCGCCATATGGTGTAGCATATATTAAACCTGGATGCTCTAATGTAGGTGGTGCTGATCCTGATAATATACTGGCTGCAGTTGTTGGTACTGACATTCTCGGTGACAAAATCAATGGAGCTCCTAATGGTGCTGTTGGAGCTCTTAACTGTTGTTGTAATGTAGGTATACCCGGTGATAAGAGCCTTGATTCAGCAGTTACAGCAGCAATACGTCTCCATTCCTCTTCACAAGCTAAAAAACATTAATTCTCATTAATTTTTCTATTTTACTTTTCAAGAAATTGCAAGAAAAAAAAAGAAAAAAATAAAAAACACAGAAAAAAACTTTGGGAATTTCAATCTGGTTGTTAAATTTTTTTATTAACTTTGTTGCATCCTTAATTTATTAATTAAATAATTTTTTCATCCGGTATATACCAATCTATTAATAAAAAATATTTTAAATAATTGCATTCATATTAAAATAAAATAATAAACGTATATAAAATGCAAAACTTTAAAAACTTTTCAATAAAAGAATTATTTTCATAAACATTGATTATTAAAATTAATGAAAGGGTATTAAATTTACCATACCATACACATTATTACATATATTCAAAACACATTGTAATAAAAATGTAAATTGTAGAAAAAATTATGTACATACTAGGAGAATTACCTGCTACAGCATTTTTCACGGATGTATCTCTATAGGTTCCATTAATTATTGCTAATTCCATTAATTGACGCTTTTTAAGTTCATCTTCCCCTTCGGCTTGCTAAAATTAAATACAAAACAAAAAGTTTAATTTAATAAAAATTTTGAAATGAAATTTTCAAAGAAAAGAAAAAGGAAAACAGCAATTGATCAACTGTTTAACCGAAATATGTACAAATGTATATAATACATAATTTCCTTACAAAACCAACTTCTCAATATGGAATTGATTGATTCACTCTTGCAAATTTTCAACATTATTTACATATTTTCTATACTTATCTCAATTTAGAGAATTTTTAATAGATTATAAAGTAATTTACAAGAAATTTCTTTTGATATTTATATGTTCTTGAAGTTCTTGCTATCCTTTTTGACGTTTTTGTTACAAATAAGTGATTAAACATTTCTGATTAAGTTGAAAACAGAACAAGAGCAATTTTCTGCGGCGAAATATCAAAATTCATATAGAATACACATACATATAAAAATGGGATATATGTAAATGATAGCCTAAAAATCTTATTTTAACGCTGGTAGTTTTTCTTGGCATCATGTGTCTCCATGTACATGTGATATATCCAAAATACTGAACAGTTTGTTTTGCCGTTCCGCTGTTGTTCTTCGTTCATAATGGAAATCGTCTGCCGTTCACCACTATAGTTCTGTTTTTACAATTATTATTGACAAATGTTAAATTTGAAAATGTTGATAAATTTAATTTAACCTGAACAACATCATTGACTTGCCGTTTCTTGTCATGTTGAAAATTATTAGCAACATTTGTTTTGTGTATAAATATTGTGTATAAATGCAAAAATAGTTTTCATTATTAATGACATTTTTTCTATTATGTATGCGTATATAACTTATTTACATTAATGTCAGCAACATAACAGTATTTTGATTTCCGCAAAAAATAATTTTATACTTACTGGTACTAAGAGTTTTTGTACTTCTTCAGTGGCACGTTGTAATTTTATTTTTGCTCGATTTTCTGTATCTTCTACTGTAATTAAAACATGTAAATCATCTGATAAATGCTCCCAATTTGGTTTGCCTCGATTAGCATCTTCCTGTTGATTACAAAATATAATTTTTTAATAATATTAACATCTAATAGGTATTTGTAGTTTTCTTATATAAAATAATTTTTTAAGTAAAGTAATGGAAAATAAATAACGGGTGGTGAACTAACATTTAATTAATTTTTGCGGGGCTAATTATACATGGATACTAAATCTAAAGCAAATAGAAAAAATAAGATCCCATTTTTCCGAACGAAATGATATACTTAAGTAAATAATAAACAAAAGGAGAAACTGTGAGGATTCTTAAACAATATCAAAAGAGATTTTCACCGTGATTTAATATACTCCTCTTGCACGCTTGAATAATTAACTCGACCTTATAGGAAAATTATATGCACACATGTACTTTTCTTTTCAAAAGCTTTTTAAATTTTTAAATTTTATAATTTCCCATTTAAAACGCTTTTCAAAGGTATACAGTTGAATTTTTTGAAAAACTATTTTAAAAATACGAAAAAAGAGGTAAACTTCAATGGTTTTTTTCATAGTAACTACATTTGTTCTATTTGGTTGAACAGCTATTTTATGTTAGAACATTGCTCAATTTAAAAATTTTCATTTCTAATTTTAAAGGATATAAAAGTTTCTTAAGCAGAAACATAGGCTAATCATTCTGCTCAGAAAATAAAAATGACAATAAAATTTATTTCAATATAAAATACATAAATGACAGAAATGATTTTAATTTTAAAATTTTACAAGATTTTGTAAATTTTTAAGCATTCAAATGCTATCTTTGAAATAAAATATAAAGCACATACACGCAACTATATACATATGTATGCATATAATAAAAATATACTAATTTTTCTTTTCCGAATAATTTATAGACTTCAAAGTGACACTTTTATATTTTGACAAGGCTGATTTTTTCAAATGAAATTTTTATAATTTATTTAAGGTTTCACAGTTTTGACATAATATTATAATCTTTTCAGGCATATTTTAATTATATTCACCTACAGTAACCAATAAATAGAAAATTTTTAATATTTTAATGCAATAAAAATTAAAAAAAAAATAATTTTATTCAAAATATGCACAGGTAATTGCTCAAAAAGTTCCGAAAATTAAAAAACAAAAATTCGCTAAAATAGAAAAGCGTCATAAATTATATTTTTAAAGTAATATAGAACAAATACACAAAGAAAACAGCAAAAAAAAGCAAAACCAAAAATTAAGAAATAATTTGACAAACTTATATTTAGCAATCGAATAGTGGGTGTAATTTATTTCTATATAAAATGACCCACAGATAAAATTAATTTCATAAAATTTGTCCTATTATATTATGCATATATCCGTATAGCATCTATGTACGTACCTACACACAAGTCATACTGCTGTTATAATAAAAAATATGTTGTAAATGCAGTTAAATTTGTTCAATATAATTGTTATTAAATTATTAGGGGATCATTTTTCCCTTTTCATTTACGATTGGACTAGAGTCTCCTGGAATTTTTTAGATCTAATTTACATCGACATATTCATTTAAGAGCGATTATTACATAAGCTACAAATAAGCATATTTATCCTCTTCTTATTCGTAGCTTATTAAATAGGGCTCGGCGAAGGCTCAAGTGCTTCGGGCATGGCTTTGTGACCCCTTCGGAGGTATCAAGCGGACGTAATACTAATAGTGCTCATGTAACCAGATTAAACGGGAATTACAAAAGGTTCTATGGTTCGAAGTGAGAAGTGCCACGAGCACCCCAGTTCTCCCTTCCTTTAAATGAAAAACAAAAAAAGCTGAAATGATTTGCGAGTACTATTTAGTACATTATGGCACTTATAATATCGGGACGCATAGAAAATATACACTTGATTGTGTTTGACAAAATTCTTTAGTCTGATTTAATTCTGTAATCTGAATTCCACGTTTGTAAAAATTGCGAGTAATTAATTCCTTTTTTTAAATATTTGTTCTTTTGGACATAAGAAATGCATAAAATTTTAGTTTTTTAATAAATATGAGTATATGAGAAGAACTCACAAAACCTCATTGAATTTTCAATATAAAATAGTGCTTAAAAAGTGTTTACTGATTGTGGGGGGATTTCTATTTTGGAGAAATCTAATATGTAGATATAAGAAAAACAAATTTTATTTTAATAAATTTTTAAAAACATGTGCTTTTTGAATTCTTTAAAAATTTCAATACAAACTTCTTTTAATTACAAGCACTACTATATAGTTTCTTTTTAATTCAACAACCATTTTATATACATACGAACAAAAACTATACCTTAAAAAAAATAAAATGGATTTTTTTTTTTTAGTTTTAAAAATAGAATTTCTCCCACTTGAAAATGAAGTGTAAATTAAAATTTTTAGGAATAAAATTTTTGAATAAAAATTAAAAACGCCTTTACAAAATACAGCGCATTAAATTTTTATACGAGTATCGCATGTGTTTGTGTGTTAAAAAAGTTTCTTCAACTTTGAACGAAAAAGAGGAAATAGTTCAAATTTTATGTTTTCCGATCCTTGTTTTTAAAAAAACTTTTATTTTTATAATAGAAAATTTTTTATATTTCTTTTTTCAAAATTTTTAAAAGTATTAAATTTTATTTTTACAACCTAATTTACATTATAATGTAAGTGTTGCCGCAATATCACAAAATAATCCAAAATGCAATTTTTAATATAATTTAATTTTAGTTTTCAGTATAGTGAATAAAATTTTATTAAATATTATGTTGATCTGAATTAGAAATTATAGTATTAATTAAATAAATAAATTTTTGAGTAGAATATCTCTTGAAGATGCAAAAATTTTTAAATACATTTGCACTTGCATACATTTAGGATGAAAACAAAAAAAGAAAAATTGAAAGAATAGTTTTGTAAACAGAGACACCATCGGACGGATAGAAAATTAATATAGCTCTTTTATTCAAAATTTTTTTGGAAAAGCTCTAAAAATGTACCTGTTACTTAAATTTATATTTACTTGAATTGTCTTTATTAAATCCAAGTATAGTGCCTATATAAATTTTGTTTTTACATCATTTCTTTTAACAATAACTGTTAATAAATTAACATAGTGTAGTACGGATAAACTTCATATGCTAAGGCACTTCCTACTCGTAGCACGTCGTAAACGTTATAATTAAAAATACAAAATTTTCTCTTATACTGAATTGAGAAGATCTAGCAGAAGAAATTTTGTTTTAAAAATATAAAATTAAATTAATGTTAAATTAATTAAATTTAGAAATCTGGTAACATTTTCTTGTAAAATGTCAATGGAACGATGTCAAAATAAAGGGAAAAATGAAAATGAATTAAAATTATTAAATTTATAATTATATCAAAAGAAAATTGCTACATTTTTTTTAAATACATAATTTTTTTTTAATAATATGTGAAATATGACGTTAATGTCATTCGCAGTACGGAAATAAAGTTATATTTTTAGTTATACACTAACAACATACATATGTACATACATATATGTACGAATATGCTCATGGTAAAGTATGTACCACAAAATTTTAAATGTGTTGTCAATAAATGTATGTGATTACTTTTGACAGAATGATTTTTTATTCTTTATATTGACAAACAAATCTATAAAATTAAATTAATGCATATTTTTCTTCATAATATTTACGACAACAACAAGTGAATAAATGTTAAATATATTTTAGAGAAATCCATAAATATGCACACACATGTTATGTTTCTAGCATTTTACAGCAAAACGAAATAATTTAATACTCTTCATTTGATTTGAAAATTTTTTCTTCATTTTGAATTTGAAGAGTTTGTAGCATCTCAAAATTCCAAATTTAGTTGAAATTTAAGCAAAATTTAAAGTTTTCTCATAGTTGTTTTCTCAAATTAAACCTGAAAAATTTCTGTACTCCATAATTTTTAATTTAACAACAAAATTAATTTGAAGCCGCACACTGTGTTGAAATTTTATAAATGTCAAATTTATTATATTTTCAAAATATTTTGTTTGTAATTTAAACATTGCGCAGTATAACAATAATTTTTAATACGTATGTACATCCACATAATATTTTTGTTTATTAAAAAGCATTTATGCATTTAATTTTATTAATATATTCTTCAAATATAACAATTATAGCGATGATAAAAATTTTTTAATTAAAATGTAATCATTTCTATAAATTGAAAGATGCAAATATTGTGCATGTTTATATGTATGTGTATGTAACTTCGTATATGTATATTATTTTAACTTGTTTTGTATGATTTGATCATTGATATTATGGCATCATATTTGTTTATATTGAAAATACAAATTTCGATATGTATCTATTATGTATGTATGTATTTGAATATCTATTGTAAATTCTGCATTATTTCAACTTGAACCACTTGAGATTGAAAATAAAGGATTTTATCAACAGAAAAAAACAGAATAAAATTATAATGTAAATATTGCATACAAAATAACATTATATGGGATAGATGATATGCAGAACGCTTCTTATCAAAGCATGATTCATTCAAAATTATTACATGAAAAACATAATGTGGCCACAATTTTTCAACATGTTACAAATAAGCGATACAGTCCCAGAATAACTTTGTGATAATAAAACAAGTTAATTAATGAAACTTGAATAATGGAATTTTTGAAATCGAGTTTGATGCAAAGTAATTACTTTAATTTAATTTCGTTACTACTACATTGAAGTCGTTTATATACAACTTAAATATTATTTTTGAAGTTATTAAGGTCACAACTCTTCTCTGCCACTATAGATTTAACATAAAATACTAAAGTATATAAAATGATTTTAATATGATATAAAAATAATTAACTTACTTTCTTTTTATCCCTCATTGATCCTTTCCCTCTTATCATTATTTTACAGCCAGTTTCTTGTTCTAATTGTTTAGCTGTCATACCACGTGGCCCTAGAATTCTTCCAACAAAATTAAACTGCAAATATAAAAATAAATAATTAAATTTAGTAATGTTATAATAATTAAATAAAATTGTTTAAAATTAAAATAATTTTTAAAATTTTTAATAAGATTAAAATTAATTAACATATTTTTATAAAATTTGTCCAATAAAATTTTATTTCTTCACCAAAAAAAAAAATTTACTAATTAAATTAGTTGAACCAATAAATCAATTGGTTCAATTTTAATTAATTAAGGTGATTAGCAAGTTCAAGTTCGACTCTCTTTCAAAAATTGAAGGTAATTTTGTCTAGAGTTAAAACAGCTTTCAGATTTTTGTGACAAAATAAATTTGTTTTAGCTAGTACTTATAGAACATACTTTTTGTGCGGAAAATCTGGCCTCGTATGATTTACCTAAATTTCATCTTTATTTAAATTTTCTCAAAAATAAACAAAATTTTTTTATTTTTCTGAATTTCCGAATCGAAATTTTATTTAGAATAACCAAATATAATTTAAAATCACGTAATAATTTGTTTTCATTTTTTTCCGTAATATGGTGGCCGAATTGCCGAATTCGTAATTCAGAATCATATTTAAATGACCAACTAAAGTTTTTTTTTTGCAATATTTTTATTCACAAATTTGTTTATATACAAATTTATACAAGTGATTTTGTATGTTAGTACGCTCAAAGGTCTTAACTACTTAGTTCAATAAATTAAAAAATACTCGTATACAATAATTACGAGAACTTTTTTATTAGAGTTTTTTGCATTTGTTTACTACTTTAAAGGAAAGGCTGATGTAATCCTATTTATAATAATTAAGAAATTTATGATTTCAAATTTCAAATATTGTGAACGTAAAAATGTGTATATAACCACACATGCAATTAACATACTAACCATTTTTGTATGCGTAGTTATTATGAAATTTATTTTAAAAAAACTATTTCAAGACGTCATTTCTCTACATAAAAATTATGTAACAAAAAAACATTTTTATTAACCTCAATAAATATATTGTTTTTGTTGTATTTAAAGCTAGTTATTGCGCTCTGTCACCGTTAACCTTTAAAACGGTAAGTCGCTGACTTCAATCATCGGCATTGTGTTATCTAGGTCTATTAATTGCACAAGAAAGTTTCCGAACAGAACTTTACTCTAGCTTCGAGAGTAAAGTTGTGTTAGGAAGGAATGATAGCTTGGAAGCTATCATGGATATTCTTTGGGCAGAATTTTTTTAATCTGATTTTTAACCTTCCAAAACTAGACCTGGACGTCCGAGGTTCCCCCACCCATACGATTTTCTTCCAACGAATCACCTCCCGAGAGTTTTAATAAAATTATACTGCTATAACCTAGGACGGAATTTTATTGTGTTAAATTTGTTTCGAATTAGTAAAATTCCGTCCTATGTTCCGGAATTTTATGTTTTAAAATGAAATATTTAATAAAATAATTTCATTTAAAAATTATCATGAATATACATATATTTAACAAATAATATTAATTTTAAAAATAATTACACACACATAGTTCCTTTCTGACATAACATTTCTATTTGAAGAAAAGTAAAAATGTATAAATAATTCAAATTACTTGCAAACATGTTAAATGTATTATAAAAAATAATTAAAAGAAAAATTCTAAATTGGGGAGAAAAATTTGTAATTTTCGTGATTTTGATTAGTTTATATGTTTAAACAGGAGCAATCTATATCTCATTTGTTATACATTTAAGTATTTACATACATACATACATGTACGTGTCTATATTTTAGTTATTTCTATTTGTAATTACGTATATGTATATTGACGTTTTAAATGGATATTCTACATAATATAAATTGTAGAGAATTAAAAATGGTGGAAATAAGAAATCATATATACGTGTAGGTATACATACATACATATATACAAATAGAATAAAGGTAATAAATTGTTAATCTATTGAACCGAAAATCCTCCTTCATTAAAAATAAAAAATCATTTTTAGAAAATAAAACAAAAAAAAAATCCAATAGGTTCAATAACATTTTTTTTTTAATTTTGTTTTTGTTTTCCAAAAAAGACTTTTATAACAAGTAAAAACGTTTCAGTCGGTATAAACCGATTGAATTATACCCTGCACCTTTCGTTATTGTGTAGCAATTACTCCAACCTGTGAGATCATTCTATAGAAACTTCACGGACATATCTGACCTATAATTGGACATCCGACTGCCAAGTTTCATCAATCTGACCTTATAATTTTTCAAAATATTTAAAATTAGCTTTTGGAGTTGTATGGTAAGTACCTAAACCTGTCAAGCAATTACATCAAAACTTCACAAATATATCTGATCTATAATCGGACACACAACTGCCAAGTTTCATGAATCTGACTTTATTATTTTTCCAAATATTAAGAATAAGCTTTTAGACTTGTATGGGAGCTACTCGAACCTGGGAGCAATCGCACCAAAACTTTAGAAATATGTCTGACCCATAATTGGACACACGACTCCCAAGTCTCATGAATTTGACTTTATTATTTTTCCAAATATTTAAAATAAGCTTTTGGGTTGTATGGCAAGTACCCGAACCTGTCAAGCAATCGCACCAAAACTTTAGAAATATGTCTGACCCATAATTGGACACACAACTGCCAAGTTTCATGAATCTGACTTTATTATTTTTCCAAATATTTAAAATTAGCTTATGGAGTTGTATGGCAGGTACCCGAACCTGTCAAGCAATTCCTCCAAAACTTCGGAAATATATTTGACCTAAAATTATACACATGACTGCCAAGTTTCATGAATCTGACTTTATTATTTTGCCGAATATAAAAAATTTGCTGTTGGAGTTGTATGGCAGCCACCCGAACCAGTGCAGCTATCCCATTATAATTTTTAGAGCATGTGTAGAATATAATTGGCCACATGTATACAAAATTTTATATTTATAGCTTTATTAGTTTTTGAAATATTTAAAATAAACTCTTGGAGTTGTATGGCAGCTACCCGAACCCGTTGTCCGACTTAGTCCAATAACAATAGGGTTCGTCCTTGGCACAAAAGAAAAAACTTGTGAAAGTTTGGTGTCGATTGCATTATTCGTTTTTGAGTTATCGTGCGATCGGACGGACGGACGGACGGACGGACGGACGGACGGACGGACGGACGGACGGACGGACATGTCTAAATCGACGCAGAATTTTACGCTGAGCAAGAATATATATATATGTCCATACCGCAGATGACTCCTTCAAGTAGTTACAAACTCCATACCAAAGTTAATATACCCTTCACGAAGTGCAGGGTATAAAAATACCGTTGAACCGTCACATTTCTATATTGTGTGCGGTTACATTTTATTATAAAAATGCAAAATAGCAATATATATGTAGGTACTTTGTTTTAAAACAATATGCGATCAAAAAAAAAAATTATTACAAAATGAAATAAAAATAATTTAAAGTAAAAAATATTCGAAATTATCGATTTACGCATATGTGTACGATTATACGACCCGCGACCATACGATATTATACGATATACATTTTTGTACCTATATATATTATTCAATACATTCAGTGAGTATACTTAAAAAGTAGTACATGATGTAGTAGTTGATGTGGGTGAATATTTTATATAAATCATAGAGAAAAAAAAGGCAAAAAAATTAGTCCGATCTATTTATAAATTAAAATGACTATGAAATCACAGATCGAATAATACGTACATACATTCATATATGTATACATTTATATAATTTGTTTTTTTTTCTCTTTACTTTTCCTTTTGTATCAAATTTAATAGCGCATGACAAAATCAATAAATTCAATGATGCAATCGCTTTTTAGAAGTACATTCTTTGAAATTATGATAGTTTACAATATGATGTCATTATGATTGAGATTATGTTAAAACATTTCTAAAATTTAAAAGAGGTTTGTTTTAAATAACAAAAATTAGCAAAAAAAAAGAAAGAAAAATAAACTGTGTTTGAAACAAAAAAAGAAAATAGGAAATCAAAACATTTTATTTTGCTGCATAATTATTAATTATTATTTTTTTTCTCTTAGTTTAAACAATAATAATTTTGTTATTAAATCATAGTGTAATTAATATATTAGATAATAGATACCTGAAGCTATTAATTTTTTTTATTTTTTTTTATAATAAGCGGATTTTCAAGTAATTTTGTCATATTTTTTTAATACTTGCACTAAAATTCCGTGTACAATTATATTATTGTTTAAAACCGACATAAACGATTTAGATATAGGTATATGTACACATAATTACAGTTTGATAACTCTCAATAATAAAATTTACTTCACACAGAATGATATTTGAAAGTTCTATAAAAAATTTCTGTACAGCACCTGTAAATACAGAACATTTTGACAACAAATTCATTTGTATAGAGACTGATTTTTTTTTACATAAATAGAAATCTGTTCTAATATCAAATTTCAATAAATTCCACCAATCCGTTCCGTAGATACGATAAAATATGTCAAATCGGCCCCCAATTTGGTTACCGAGTTCTGATCTTTAAAAAAAAAATTAGATATTCACTGTTTTAATATCCCGAATTTAAATACTAAATTTCAAGGAAATTGATTGTTTATTTCATTTATGTACGGATAAATGTTAAATTGACCCGCAAAAAAGGTCTCGTTCCTAATATCTGATATATCCCAAAAGTTAATCAATCCAAAATTTCCGATAGAACCAAAAAACAAAAAAAAATATAAATCGGCCCTATCAAGAATAAAATACGAAAGCCAGCAACCGCAAAATTAGAAAATAAACTAAGTTTGATATTACAGCTTTGCGATTGTAGTTTCATATTGTTAGCAATCCCAATTCCCATTTCAATAGTGGTCAAATCTTGCAATTTGCAATACAGCGTTGAGTCTCATTGTTTTTAGAGCAAAAATCATAGCATAAATAAACCTACGCTTAAACGATACTATTGAATTAAACAAATTAAATTTGAAAATCAATTCACAAAATCTAGGTCATATATTTTGA